GGGGAGGAGGGGGGCGGGTGGCTTGGGAGGGAGCGGGGAAAGGGCGGGGGAGGGGCTGGGAAAAGAGCTGGGAGCGGGGAGGGGGTTTGGGAGAGAGACGGGAAGTGGGGAGGGGGCTGGGAATGGTCTGGGAGCGGGGAGCGGGATGGGGAGGGGGCTGGGAATGGAGCGGGCAGGGGGCTCCGGGAACAGGCGGGGAGTGGTCGGGGGTCCCCGGGCAGGGGGCAGGGACCTCGGACAGGGTCAGGAGGGGACAGGGACCTCGGACAGGGTGAGGAGGGGACAGTGACACGGGCAGGGTCAGGAGGGGACAGTGACATGGGCAGGGTGAGGAGGGGACAGTGACATGGGCAGGGTCGGGGGTCCTGTCACGGGCCCTGTCCCCCCTCCCCAAGACGTGCAGGGCCGGGGGGAGCTGCGGGCGGCACGGGCAGAGCTGGCAGCGGCCACCGACCCCCTGGGACCCGACAGTGACGGTGAGCGACCCCCGGCACTGGCCCTGTCCCCAACCTGTCACTGGTCCCTGTCCCCAGACCCTGCCTGCAGCCCCCGTTCTGCACCCGCTGGCCCCGGGCACAGCTCCTGTCACCAAATCCTGGCCTGTCCCCAAATCCTGGCCTGTCCCCAAATCCTGGCCTGTCCCCAAATCCTGGGCACAGCTCCTGTCCTGTCCCCAAATCCTGTCTTGTCCCCAGATTCTGTGCACAGCCCCTGCCCACAGTCCCTGTCCCCAAATTGTCCCCAGCCCACAGTCCCTGTCCCTACGCTGTCCCCATATCCTGTCCCTGTCCTTACCTGCTGTCCCTTGTCCCTGTCCCCAGACCTTGTCCCTGTCCCCAACCCCTGTTCCCATTCCCTGTCCCCAATCCCTGTCCCCCAAATCCTGTCCCCAACCCCTGTTCCCTGTCCCCACATCTCATCCCTGTTCCCACACCCTGTTCCCATCCCCTGTCCCCAATCCCTGTCCCCTCTCCCTGTCCCCAACCCTTGTCCCTGTCCCCGTGTCCCCACAGGTGACAGCCCCTCAGCGGCACAGCGGCGGCAGGACCGGCTCGGTGGGTGACACGGGGAGGTGACACGGGGAGGTGACACGGGTGTGGCAGGGGTGTGACAAGTGGGGTGTGACAGGGGGGTGTGACAGGGGGGTGTGGCAGGGGGGTGTGGCAAGGGTGTGACGGGGGGGGGGTGTGACACGATGCTGGGCTCAGGGAGGTGACAAGGGCAGTGACAGGGGTGTCCCGTGTCCCCACGCAGGCCGGTGGCTGCAGGAGCTGGCGCTGGGCTGGCGCTACCACCGGGGTAAGATTTACCTGTTCTCGGGCCAGCGGCAGCCCTGGGCCGCGGCCGAGGCCGCCTGCGCGGTGACACACGCGCACCTGGCCTCTGTCACCAACGCCGAGGAGCAGGTGAGGCTGGGGACAGCCACGGCCACTCCTGTCCTGTCCTGTCCCCTCCCTCCTGAGCAGCGACTGCCTGAGCACCTTTATGGGCCTGGCCCCAAATCCTGACCCCAAATCCTGTACTGTCCCCAAATCCTGTCCCCAAATCCTGACCCCAAATCCTGTGCACAACCCCATCCCCAGATCCTCTCCTGCCCCCAAATCCTGTCCTGTCCCCAAATCCTGTCCCCAAATCCCATGAATGGCCCTTGTCCCCAAATCCTGTCCTGTCCCTAAATCTTGTCCTCAAATCCTGCTCACAGCTCCTGTCCTGTCCCCAAATCCTGTCCTGTCCCTAAATCTTGTCCTCAAATCCTGTCCCCAAATCCTGCTCACAGCTCCTGTCCCCAACCCCAGCCTGTGCTCCTTTACCTGGCCGTGATTGTCCCCAACCCTTGTCCCCCGTCCCCTCCTACCTGCACATCCTCCTGCCCTTCCCTCCCCGTGTCCCCTCACCTGTCCCCTTTGTCCTCTGCCCCTGTGGCGCCTCTCCTGTCCCCATGTCCCCCCTCCCCTGTCCCATCACCTCTCCCTGTGTCCCCAGGACCCCTCTCACCTGTCCCCATGTCCCGGTGTCCCCTCACCTGTCCCCTCTCCCCTCTCCTGTGCCCGTGTCCCCCCTCCCCTGACCTGGTGACCCCTCTCACCTGTCTCTGTGTCCCCTCCCCTGTCCCCAGGTCCCGTCTCACCTGTCCCCATGTCCCCCCCCCGTCCCCATGTCCCCTCACCTGTCCCCGTGTCTCCTCCCCTGTCCCCATGTCCCCTCTCACCTGTCCCCGTGTCCCCTCTCACCTGTCCTTGTGTCCCCATGTCCCCTCTCACCTGTCCCCGTGTCCCCTCTCACCTGCCCCCAGGTCCCCTCTCACCTGTCCCCGTGTCCCCTCCCCTGTCCCCAGGCCTACCTGGCCCGCGAGGCCCGTGGTGGCACCTACTGGATCGGGCTGGCGGCCACGGGCCCGGGGGGCTCCTGGCGCTGGGCGGACGGGACCCCCTATTCCCCGGAGCGCAGGTGAGCGGGGTGGGGACAGCGGGGGACACTTGGGGACAGCGCTGTCCCCGAGCGCTGAGCGCTGTCCCCAACGCGGTTCTGGGCAGTTTCTGGGCTCCGGGCCAGCCGGACAGCACCGACCACGGCCGCTGGGGAGGGGAGAGCTGCGCCCAGATCCACCCGGTGGGCGCGGGGCTCTGGAACGACCACAACTGCAACTTCAGCTTCCCCTGGGTGTGCCAGAGGGAGCTCAGCATCCCCTGATGTCCCCTCGGGGTCCCCTGATGTCCCCTTGCGGTGCCTTGATGTCCCCTCGGTGTCCTCTGATGTCCCCTCAGTGTACCCTGATGTCCCCTCGGGATCCCCTGATGTCCCCTCGGGGTGCCCTGATGTCCCCTTGGGGTCCTCTCGGTGTCCCCTGATGTCCCCTTGGGATCCCCTGATGTCCCCTCGGGGTGCCCTGATGTCCCCCTCGGGGTCCCCTGATGTCCCCTCAATGTGCCCTGATGTCCCCTCGGTGTTCCCTCGGTGTCCCCTGATGTCCCCTCGGTGTCCCCTCGGGGTCCCCAGAGAGCTCTCCCCAGGGAGGGGGTTGGGAGACTCTGGAAATAGTGAGGTGATCCCACTGATCCCGAAGGATTCCTGGATCCAGGGGGCTCAGATCGTCCCAAAGCAGTGGGATGATCCCTTCCATCCCGTGGGATCATCCCTCTTATCCAAAGGGTTCATCTCCCCCTGTCCAAGGGTCTGACCCCCCCAATCCAATGGAATGATCCCCATTATCCAGAGGGATCACCTCCCCCCATTTAGGGGTCTTATCCAGTGGGATCATCCCCCAAAACCAGAGGGATCAATCCCCCAAAACCAGTGGGATCAATCCCCCCTATTCTGGGATCTCATTCCCCCTATTTAGGGAATTCATCCCCCAAAACCAGTGGGATCAATTCACCAATCCAGAGGGGTCATCCCCCCTTATTTAAGGATCTCATCCCCCTTATCCCGTGGGATCATCCCCCAAAACCAACAGGATCTCATCCCCATATCCAGAGGGATTAATCCCCCAAAACCACAGGGATCAATCCACCAAAACCAGAGGGATCAATCCCCCAAAACCAGAGGGATCATCCCCCCTTTTTTAGGGATCTCATCCCCCTTATCCCGTGGAATTATTCCCCAAAACCAACGGAATCATTCCCCAAAACCCATGGGATCTCATCCCCATATCCAGAGGGATCATCCCCCAAAACCAGTGGGATCTCATCCCCATATCCAGTGGGATCATCCCCCAAAACCGGAGGGATCAATCCCCCAAAACCAGAGGGATCAATCCCCCTATTTAGGGATCTCATCCCCCATATCCAGTGGGATCATCCCAATCCAAGGTGTCCCCAACCCCAATCCAGGTCCCCCATCCTGGTGTCACCCTCCCCACCCACACCCCAAATTCCTGATTAAAGTGCCCCATCCCCCCCTCCCGGGCCATTTTGGGGTCCCCATCCCCCCCCCCAGGGACATTTGGGGACGCCCCCCTTGAATTAATCACAGCTGAGCAGAGAATAAATTGCTTTAAAGAACACAAAAGGCCAAAAAACGCAACCCAAAAACCCCCAGAATAAACCCAAATAATCCCAAAATAATCCTCAAATAATGCCCACCCCAAAAAAAAAAAAAAACAAAGCAATCCCAAATAAACCCAAAACAACCGAAAATAAACACCCAAAAAAAAAAAATATAAAATACCCAGAAAACCCGAATAAGATCAAAATAACCCCAAATAAACCCCAAAATACCCCCAAAATACAGAAAAAACCCACAAAAATCCAAAAGCAATCGCCTCAAAAAAACCAGAACCCAAAACAAGCCCAAATATGCCTCAAAATGACCCCCAAAAACAACCCAACCCCCAAAAAAACAAAAAAACCCCAAAAAAAATCCCCAAAAACGCCAAAAAAATCCCAACCCCTCCAAAAAACCAAAACAAAACCACCACAAAAATACCAAAAAAACCCTAAAAAATCCACAACCCCCCCAGAAAAACCTTGAACCCCCAAAAATACTCGAAACAAACTGAAAAAACCTCAAAATAGCTAAAAAAAAACCCAAAAAAATTCAAACTACGCACAAAACCCCTCCAAAAATCCAAAATACAACCAAAAAGCCAAAATCCCCCAAACAAAGCCAAATAATCAACAAACCCCCACCCCAGAAAAAAAAAAAAGAAGCCCACAAAAAGGGGATTTAAAGGATTTTCTGGCTTTGGAGGTTTCCGGCAGTGAAAAAAAGAATAAAAAGGGGGAAAAGGGGAGAAAAAATAGAATTAAAAAGGGGGAAATATGAGGAAAATTAATTAAAAGTAGGAAAAAAGGGGGAAAAAGGGAATAAAAATGGGGCAGAGGAGGAAAAGGAGAATTGAAAAGGATGGGGAAAGAGAGGTGAAAAAAGGGTGGGAAATGGAAATAAAAGTGGGAAAAAGGGGGTGGAAAAAAGGGGGGGAAAAGGGAATTTACAAAGAGGAAAGGAAAGGGGGGAAATGTGGGAAAAAATAAAGCAAAGGGCCGGACAAAATGAGATTTATATTCAAAACAAACGCGGAATCAGCCAATGGGAGAGCCTGGTGGGCGGGGCCACAGAGGAACGGCAGCTGATTGGCCAGCATGATGATTGGCGGGAGCTTCAGCCAATAAAAGAGAGCGGAAGGTGGAGCCAGAGATAATACGGAAGTACTCGATGAGTGGGCAAAAAGAAGTTGGGCGGAGCCAGATGATTGACGGGAGGTGCAGCCAATTGGAGGCGGAAATAAGTTCAAGAGGTGGGGTCATTGAATGGGGCGTGGCTTAAGGGGGGGGGAGCAGCGGGGAGCGTTTGAGGAGGGATTTTGGGGACATGGATTGGGCAGGGTGGGGACATGGCTGGGGGAAGGGACAAGGAGGGGGTGGCAGCTGAGAATGCCCCGGAAGTGCAGGTGAAGGGCGGATCTCCCGGCTGGAGGGGGCTGTGTCACCCCCATAAGGACCAGCTGTTGGTCTGGGGGTGTCACTGTCACCTCCTGAGGTTGTGGTTCTGCCCATATCCCACTCTGGTGTCCATATCCCATCCATGGTATCCGTATCCCATCCATGGTGTCCATATCCCACTCTGGTATCCATATCCCATCCCAGTGTCCATATCCCATCCTGGTGTCCATATCCCACTCTGGTGTCCATATCTCACTCTGGTGTCCATATCCCATCCATGGTGTCCATATCCCATCCCAGCTGTCCATATCCCATCCTGGTGTCCATATCCCATCCCGCTGTCCGTATCCCATCCATGGTGTCCATATCCCACTCTGGTATCCATATCCCATCCCAGTGTCCATATCCCATCCATGGTGTCCATATCCCATCCCAGCTGTCCATATCCCATCCTGGTGTCCATATCCCATCCCGCTGTCCGTATCCCATCCATGGTGTCCATATCCCACTCTGGTATCCATATCCCATCCCAGTGTCCATATCCCATCCATGGTGTCCATATCCCACCCCTGCTGTCCATATCCCATCCATGGTGTCCATATCAGATCCCACTGTCCATATCCCTCCATGGTGTCCATCCATATCCCATCCCAGTGTCCATATCCCATCCCAATGTCCATATCACTCCATGGTGTCCATATCCCATCCATGGTGTCCGTATCCCATCCATGGTCTCCATATTCCAGCCCAGTGTCCATATCCCACCCCTGGTGTCCAAATCCCACCCCAGTGTCCATATCCCACCCCTGGTGTCCATATCCCACCCCAGTGTCCAAATCCCATCCCCGCGTCCATATCCCCCATATCCCATCCATGGTGTCCGTATCCCATCCATGGTCTCCATATTCCAGCCCAGTGTCCATATCCCACCCCTGGTGTCCAAATCCCACCCCAGTGTCCATATCCCACCCCAGTGTCCATATCCCACCCCAGTGTCCATATCCCACCCCAGTGTCCATATCCCATCCCAGTGTCCATATCCCACCCCTGGTGTCTATATCCCATCCATGGTCTCCATATTCCATCCCAGTGTCCATATCCCACCCCTGGTGTCCATATCCCATCCATGGTGTCCATATCCCACCCCTGGTGTCCATATCCAACCCCAGTGTCCATATCCCATCCCGGTGTCCATATCCCATCCCTGGTGTCCATATCCAACCCCAGTGTCCATATCCCATCCCAGTACCCATATCCCATCCCCCGTTTCCATGGTAACAGGATGCTCTCTGCAGGCCCTGCCCCCATTGCCATGGCACTGTGACCCTTCTGATAAGCCCCGCCTCCATTGCCATGGCAATGGGATTATCCCTTTGAGCCACACCACCGTTGCCATGAAACCAAAATGCTCCCTGAAGCCCCACCCCCTTTGCCATGGCAGCAGCGATGCTCTCATTAAGCCCCGCCCCTGTTGCCATGGCACCATGACCCTCCCATGAATCCCCTCCCCCATTGCCATGGCACCATAATGCTTCCATGAAGCCATTCCCCTGTTGCCATGGCACCATGATGCTCCAATTAAGCCCCGCCCCATTGACATGGCACCATGACACTCCCATGAGACCCCGCCCCATTGTCATGGCAATAGCGATGCTCTCATTAAGCCCCGCCCCATTGCCATGGCAGCAATGAAGCTCCCATTAAGCCCTGCCCCATTGCCATGGCAACAGTGATGCTCTCACTAAGCCCCGCCCCCATTGCCATGGCAGCAGCAATGCTCCCATTACGCCCCGCCCCGTTGCCATGGCACCTCGACGCTCCTATGAAGTCCTGCCCCCCGTTGCCATGGCACCGAGACGTTCTCATGAAGCTCTGCCCAGTTGCCATGGCACTGCGACGCTCCCATTAAGCCCCGCCTCCGTTGCCAAGGCTCTGAGACGCTCCCATTAAGCTCCGCCCCCGTTGCCACGGAACCGCGACGCTCCCATTAAGTCCCGCCCCCGTTGCCATGGCAGCATCGACGCTCCCATTAAGCTCCACCCCGTTGCCATGGCACCTCGATGCTCCTATGAAGCCCCGCCCCCGTTGCCATGGCACCGCGACGCTCCCATGAATCCCCACCCCCATTGCCATGGCACCGCGACGCTCCCATTAAGCCCCTCCCCCCGTTGCCATGGCAGCAAAGACGCTCCCATTAAGCCCCTCCCCCGTTGCCATGGCAGCAACGACGCTGTGGCCGGGCCCTGATGGCGGCCGAGGGGCCGGGCCCGAGCCCGGACACGTCGCTGGTGTCCCTGTACCGCTGGCTGGACACGGTGCCGCTGTCGCGGCCGCGCAGGAACATCGCCCGCGACTTCAGCGACGGGGGTTGGCCTCAGGGGGGACACGGCGGGGTGGCCAGGACAGGCTGTCCCCGGTGGTGCCACCCCCAGCGTGTCCCCGCTGTCCCCGCAGTGCTGGCGGCCGAGGTAGTGAAGTTCTTCTTCCCCTCCCTGGTGGAGCTGCACAGCTTTGTGCCCACGAGCTCCACGGCGCAGAAAGTCGCCAACTGGGGCCACCTCAACAGGTAGGGGGACCCGTGTGACCTCCCGGGGTGTCCCCAGAGTGTCCCCACCCGGCCTGGGGGGGGTGTCCCCCCTCGTTTGCCACAACCCGTGTGCCCACAGAGCCACCCCGGAGTGCTGCGGGTGGGGATTGGTGTCCCCCCCGTGTCCCCCTGTGTCCCCCCGGGTCCCTCTGTCACCTCCCAGGGCTGTTCCATCCATCCCAAATTTTAGGAAAGTGCTGAGTAAGCTGAATTTGCGCGTCCCGGAGGAGATGATCCAGCAGCTGGTGCGGAGCCGGCCGGGAATGGCCGAGCAGCTCCTGCAGCTCCTGCGGGAGAAAATCCAGGAGAGGCAGAGGCAGAGGAAGGAAGGGGCCGGGCAGGTGAGGAAATCCCGGGAATGGGGAATTCCCAGGGAATGGAAGTGTCCCAGGAAAGGTTGGACACTGGGGCTTAGAGCAAGGTGGGATTAGGGAATCCCTGGATGGAATTTGAGGGTGTTCCCAACAAAAATCATTCCAGGATTCTGCTCTGGAGCAGAGCTGGGAGAGCTGGGAATGTTCCCCTGGAGAAGGGCAAAATGCAGGGAGAGCTGAGAGTCCCTGCAGGGGCTCCAGGAGAGCTGGAGAGGGACTGGGGCCAAGGGCTGCAGGGACAGGAGCCAGGGAATGGCTTCCACTGGGAAAGGGGAGATTGGGCTGGGATCTTGGCAAGGAATTCCTGCCTGGGCTGCAATTCCCAGATTTGCTGTCCCTGGATCCCCGGGAGTGCCCAAGGATCCGCCTGGGGCTGTTGGCAGGAGGGTGTCCCAGGTATTCCAGGTGTTCCAGGGCTTTTCCTGCCTTTCCCACTTTTCCTGCCTCTCCTCTCAGCCCCCAGCAGAGCCGGCAGCGCGGGAGGAGGGCGGATACCTGGACACAGGTAAGGATGGGGGGGAATAGGATCCCCAAAATCCCCCACTGGGATTTTTGGGGTCTCTGGGAGGGGACCGCTGTGTCCGGGCAGGTGACCCCATCCATCCCTGTGGGATTTTCCAGGCCATCCCAAGGTCCAGAGCGATTTGGGAAGGGGCTGCAGCCAGGAGGGCACTGCCAGGTGAGGGCTGGGCAGGGGACGGGACCCTCTTGGGGTCGGGGGGTCTTTTTTGGGGTCACTGAGGGGGTTTGGGGGGTTCTGGTGGCGGT